CGCCTGGAGTCCCAGATACTCAGGAGGCTGAGGCAGGAGAATCACTTGAATCCAGGAGATGGAGGTTGCAGTGAGCCGAGACCACACCATCACATTCCAGCCTGGGCAATAAGCGAGACTTGTCTCAAAAACAAAACACAAAACTGCTGTACACCAAGACATTTGCTGTAGCATTAGATATGTTTATCAATTGTCTAGCTATCTCATAGGAATAGAATGACTAGTAACAACGTATCCTTTTGGCAACACTGATAAAGCAATAAAATACAAAACTCAAATGAGGAGCTACACGGGACCATGGGAAAGCCTCAGGCAACAGAAAGCAAAAGCATATCCAATTGCACGTATCACAAAACGTGAACACTTTTGCCACATGTGGCTACTGAGCACTTGAAATGTGGCTTGTGGGGCTGAGGAACTGAATTTTTTATTTTGTTTTAATTAACTTAAATTTAAATGGCAGCTCTAGAAGGCAGAGGCTTAATGACATGCCCCGTTAGGTAAAGATGAAAAGCAGCACATTGCTTTGGCCGGCAGGTGGGCAGCACTGTCCTTGCAGAGCAGGGTGGCCGCCAGTAAGTCCACTCCAGTAGCCCCACCCCACAATGCAGCCACCAGACTATCCCCCCTTTCACCATGATAAAAGGAAGGTCACTGGGCCAGGCGCAGTGACCTTAATTCCAGCACTTTGGGAGGCCGAGGTGGGTGGATCCACTGAGGTCAGGAGTTGGAAACCAGCCTGGCCAACATGGTGAAACCCCGTCTCTACTAAAAATACAAAAATTAGTTGGGTGGCTAAAAAAAATGGTGGCTCATGTAATCCCAGCTATGCAAGAGGCTGAGGGAGGAGAACCACTTGACCCCGGGAGGTGGAGGTTACAGTGAACCCGGAGCTTGCAGTGAGCCAAGATCACGCCACTGCACTCCAGCCTGAGTGACAGAGTGAGACCCTGTCTCCAAAAAAAAAAAAAAAAGAAAGTCACAGAAAGCATTTTCCAAACCCCAAGGAAGGTGAAAGAGGGAAAACCAAACATTCTACCTTAATGGCCAGCCCAGAGAGGTCTGCATTGTCTGGCACGGGGGGCAGGCCCAGTCGGACGTCCATGTCGTCAGTGCGGCTGTGCACAAGGGCCCCGAAGAGCGAGACCCGGGTGTCTCTCTCAAACCGGTCACCACAAGAGTCACCAAATGAGAAGAGCCCGACGGTGGGCAGGCCGGTCCCTGGAGCAGCCTCCATAACCTGAAGTGTTTCCTGGATCATGCTGTGACACAAACACTCTTCTCTGGAGATCAGAGACTGAACGTCTGTCTCAAACACACTCAGGTGGTCGCAATCATAGCCGCTATAGGGAACGTTTCTCCCCACGTGCTTGTTGTTAAGGAAGTAGTCTCGATTTCTGGGCAGAAGTTGAGGGGGACCACTCCCTGCCAGCTGAACCAGGAGGTCCAAAACAGACCCCACCTCCAAAAGCGGACAGCAAGGGGCTGCTTCAAGCTCCTCCACAAGCTCCTCCAGACGGTCGGCCTCGGGGCCCAGGCCACCCACTCTCAAGTCAAAGGACAACATGAGGATCTTGTTTCTCGCTGGTAGTTTTGACATGTCAGGCTGCAGCTGCTGAGTCTCATCTTGAAAAAGATTTGTGAAAAGCGCATTGTAGGCCACCTTCTTGAGGCTCCGCTTTGCCCTCTTCCGGTTCACACTGCGCTGGCCCAGGTGAGTCTTGGCAGCCGGCAGGAGGGCCTCACACAGGTCGTCGAACAGCTGCGTGATGCTGGCCATGCCCCTTCTCAGCTCCGGGCCCCCGGCGTGTGGGAAAACACCTCACCCGGGCTTCACTCACGCTCCGGAAGACGGAGAGAGAGAGGGTCTGAAGGGGCTGAATGACAGGCGGCCTCTCCAACGCCGCAGCTCAGAACGGGTATTTTTTAAAGGAGGTTTTGCGGTTGCTCTACTCAGAGTAAACACGCTGCCCGGCGCCCGGCAGCCCCCCAGAAGCCAGCTCGGCGTTTCTTCCAATTCAGTAGCCCTCAACCTTTAGGGAGTCACAGAACCATGGCAAACCCGAAGAACGAAACGCGCGCCCGCGCAGTACAGCGCACGAACTCGGCTTTGCCCCGTTCTTCGGGCCCCACGAGAGGAGACGACCAGGAGAGGGTGCCACTCCGAGACTCGTGGGCAGCGGAGAGTCTGGGGGCGCAGCCCGGTGGGTCCCGGCCTGCACGTCCACCCGTTCTCCAGGCGTCACCTGTGGAAAAAGCCCACTGCTCCCGCTCCCGCCGCCTCCGTCGCGTCACAGCAGCGCGAGCGTGAAGAGCGCTAGGGCGGGCGCGCCGGAAATACGTCACGGGAACGCCGGCTGCGCGTGAAAGTGAGACCCGGGCCGCGGCGCTCTTCCGGCCTGAGTCCCACACCGCGGTTCAGAGATCGAGGCCAGCGTGTTCAGTAAAGGAGGCAGAACCAGGGTTTCGTTTGACCCATGTTTACTAACGGCGCAAGGGCGGGGAGGGAAGGGCAGCGGGGCGCAGGGGCCGGAACGGGACCGAGGGTGGGTTGCATGGGGCGCGATGGGTGGGGCGGGGCGAGGCGAAGTGAGGGGTGGAGCGGGGGAAGCACGGGTGGGAGGGGACGGGGGTGGGAGTGGGCGGGGTTCTATGCCCCGGAGTCGTGGGAGCCGCGGGCTTGAGGTCCGGATCGCGGCAGCGAGGCGCTGGCGTGCGGTGTCATTTCTGCGGCGTAAATGCTCCCACCTTGGCCGATTTCAAGCCACCAGGTGAGGACGGCACTACAGGAGGAGGAGCCGGGAGGAGGCGCGCAGCTGGCCTCCTGCACTGGAGCTGGTTCTCAGCACTCACTTGCCCTGCCCTCCCCACCGACCTCTGCGGCAGAGCCTGGCCCCAGGGCAGAGCCATGCCTCCGCAATCAGCCTCACCTGCAGCATCTTCCACTGAGGCTCCAGCTGCCCTCTCAGGTACATCAGAGCCTGGACGTCCTCCGGGGAGGCCACAGAGGAAGGGCCTAGGCTAGGAGGTGCCTCTCCACGCAGCACCCGGGCCAGGATCCCTGCTAGCTGGGGTGTGGAGTCCTGGGCCAGGGGCGAAGACGGAAGCAGTCATTGGTCCTTCCCCTCATCCCACCCCACAGCACCTCCACCCTGCCCAGCTTACCTCCTCCAGGAGGGCCAGGACTCGGCCCCCTGCCAGCCCCCGAAGCATGGCAGCCAGGAGTGCAGCGTGGGGGCCCTGCAGGCCATGGCCAGGCCCTAGCGCCACTAGCACCAGGTCAGGCTGGAAGCCATAGGCCAGGGGCAGCACCAAGCCCAAGATGCAGCTCAGGAAGCCACCAGTCATCTGTGGGGACAGCAGAGCCCAGCTCCTCATCTACAGACACCTGCTGGCTCTGGCCCCCCAACCTCTCAGTCTCAGGGCCCCTGGAGCAGGAGCAGGGAGACAGGAAGGACCAGAGGCCTGCTATCATGACATGCCAGGAAGCAGCAGCGGCATGTTCTCCCCAGCATCTGCCATGGGCTCCCCAGCACCTGCCTTGCCGCGTGGCGTGGTCACTCACCACTGGCAGTGGCGTGGAAACATGGAACATGGATAGGGCGGCTGCCTCCTTGCCCCCGATGTTCAGCCACAGAGTCCTCCTTCCAGGACACATGTGCATAAGTGTAAGGCCCTGCTCACCCTCCTGAGCCCAGACCACAGAGGCAGAGGTGGAAGAGCATTCACAGGGCCATGGGCAGGGGTGCTGTGACTGCTGAGCCTCTGTGCTGGAGACCCACCTGGCATTGCCTGTAGCAGCCCTTCTCCCAAACCCCAGCTGAGGAAGGCTCCATTCAGTACCAAGTGCCCCACACACCCGTCACCCTGGGGCCCAGGCACACATCCGTCGCATGCCCATTCACATCCATGGCTGGACAGATGCAAGACGTGAGAGTCCTACCCGTCATGGGCGAGGTCTGGAGGCCGGTCCAGCTGTCCCAGGGCCACACACAGCAGCCTGGAGGAAGAGCTGGCCTCAGGACAGGTGTTCCTGTTGTCCAGAGTCCATTCCCAGAGCTCTCTCTGCTTGGCCAGCCAGGATAGGGGTGCCCACAGGTCCTGCCCTCAGAGGCTCTGGATGGTCAAGTGAGGCTTACCTCTGGGCTCCGTGGGACAGGCCTCTCTGAATAGCCACATCCAGGGTGGCTGCTGCAGCAGAGGCTGGAGTGGCTGCGATGCCACTGTTCACCTGTGGGATGAATAAACAGTGGAGGACGAGGCAGCAGCCAACTCCCGAGCCAGGTAAACAGATCCACGGTTCCCTGCATTCGGTGTATCTCTGTGGCTACTGCCAGCCACACTTCTTACACTCAGGTCAATTATTCTGCTTCTGTAAATAAGATGCTTACGTCTGTAATTTTTTTTTTTTTTTTGAGAGACAGGGACTTGTTCTGTACCCAGGCTGGCGTGCAGTGGCGCAATTATAGCTCACCGCAGTCTCAAACTACTGGGCTTAAGTGATCCTCCTGCCTCAGCCTCCTAAGTAACTGAACTACAGGCACACGCCACCACACTTGGCTGACTTTTTTATTTTTTGTGGAGACAGGGTCTCTGTATGTTCTCTAGGCTGGTCTTGAACTCCTGAGCTCAAACATTCCTCCCACCTTGGCCCCCCAAACTGCTGTTATTACAGGCATGAGCCATTGCACCCTGCCTAAATGTATACTTTAAATCACCCCCTTCACCTCTCTGCCAAAGAGCATTTAACTGAAGAAGCTGAGGTCAGAGGTCAGACACGCTAGTGATCCCCATCCCTGGGGCTGTTCTGGGAACCGTTCTTGGCACAAGGCAACGTTCACATCCATGTGGTTCTGCACCACCCAGCCCTCCTCTGGACAGGCCACATCTCGTTGGCAGGTCCTGGTCCCTGCCCCTAGGTGCACAGCACCCCCAACCCCTCACAGGTGCTCCCACCTGCCCATCCAGCATCCCATCTAAGAGGTACAGGAGCTTCCCAAGTGCAGTGAGGGCCTCCTCCCGGGCCAGGGACTCGTGTGGCCTGTGGTGGACAGACCAGAGGGACACACAGACACGTAGTGACTACACGTCAGGCACACACACGCACAGGTGTAGATGCGGCCCCATCCTCCCCAGGCCAGCCCTGCCCACCTGGCCCAGGCTTCTGTCTCCTCCCTCAGGGCTGACCCTTCCTGTTGGATGACATCAGGCGGCAGGACCAGTGTGATATCTGGCGCTGTCAGGGCAACAGTGGTGCGGACAGAGGGTGCAGGGCAGAGGCACGGCTGGTCCAGGAGGGAGCTCGGTGCAGGTGCAGGTGCAGCTGCCTTACACATGGGACCCCCAGGCAGCAGAGGTGGAGGCCTCCCCTCTGGGGAGTGGGTGCTGGGGCTCGTCGGCACAGGGGTCACATCTAGGGACAGTTCACAGTCATAGCCACTGCACGGAGCCTGAGGTGGGATCCTGCAGCCTAGCACCTGGCCACACTGACCTTGCAGCTGCAGGCTCTTCCAGTACGGGGCTTGGGCAGCACGGGCACTCTGGATGGACTCCAAGGCACTGTGGGGGAGACACAGCAGTGGTGACGCCTGGCCTCACACCCCAGCCCCGCCTGCCCTCCCTCCCCTCGAACCTCTGACATGGCACCATGAGCCCTGACAGGGGTGGAGCGGGGTCGCCCAGCAGCGTCTGTACTGTCATGCACACCGACTCAGCCAGGGACTCCAGGTGGTAGCCGCCCTGGGAGGAGGGTGGAGACACGATTGGGGCAGAGATATCACTGGGATGGGGTGTCACCAGGAGGGCCCTTGCCTGGCTCTATCCCGGGCAGGATGCCCCTCCCAAGTACCACGTGGGCACCTGGCTCCCATGCTCCTGACTCCCAGACCTCTGGCCCAGGAACCCTCCCTATGTGCCCTCCCCAGTCACCTCCAGCATGGCGCAGACCCGGCCGCCGGCCAGCACCTGCAGCAGATGTGTGAGGTGGGCGAAGCACTCTGGCGTGGCCTGCATTTGCCCCTGGAACCAAAGCCATGTGTGATGGGGGACCTGGGCTCCAGGACCCTAGAAGCCCTCCCTGGCCAGGCAAGGCCCTCACCTCAGGGTCCCCGATGGCTGAGTCAAATCCTGCTGAGACCAGCACCAGCTCAGGATCAAACTACAGGTCAGGCCGGGGTGGGGAGGGTTGAGAGAGGGGCTGGAGCCCAGGTGAGGGCAAGCCAGGCCCATCCCATGCCCTCCTGAGCACTCTTCCCTGCCAGGCAGCAGTGGGGCAGCTCATAACCCTCCTCCTGCCTTCACCGTGGCGCTCCAGGCACCAAGTTCCCTCCCACCCGGCTGCCCTGGGGGAATCCTCCGTGCAGTCACCTCAAAGGCCAGTGGGAGCAGCAGGTGCAGGAAGGCAGCCACGTAGTCAGCATTTCCCATCCCGACCTGGCAGGACATCCCAGGCTACATCCTGAACTGTGGGGCAGGGGAAGGGGCTGGGGGGAGGGGTCTGGGTGGGGGCCTGGGGCTTGAGGGTAGGCACCTGGTTCCAGGGCAGGTTGACAGTGAAGCCGAGGCCCTGTCCCCGCCCCACTGCGTCTGCATCTGACTCTCGAAGGAAAGGCCAGAAACGCCCATGCTCATAGCGGTGCCAGGAGAAGTAAAGGACGCTGCCAACGGCCAGCCAGGGCCAGAGATCAGAGGTCAGGACCCTCAACAGCTCTACAGCTGCCCGTAGAACCCTGACCCGAGCACGTCTGTATCTTGCCCTTGGATTTTCCCAGGCCAGGCTGGGGTTGCAGGAAAGGGTGCTGTCTGCACCCTTGCTCACCTGGGGTCATCCTCAAAGAGATACTGGATCCCTTGGCCATGGTGCACATCCCAGTCCACGATGAGGATCCTGGGCACAGACAGCGCTGCTGGCTGAGGGGCAGGGCCTCCCACCTCCAGGAGCCCGGCCAGGGATGGGAAAATGCTGGCTGGGTTCTCTCACCACCTGTTCCGCCCCTTGCTGTGTGGCCTGGGCCCACACCCCTGCAGCCAGCCTGGCACACACCTGTGTAGCCCGTGCTTCTGCTTGGCATGTGCAGCTGCTATGGCCACGTTGTTGAACACGCAGAACCCGTTGGCAGCTGCCCTCTGGCTGTGGTGCCCGGGGGGCCTATGGCGTGAGAGGAGGATTTGGGTTGTGTCAGGGTTGCCCTGGCCCCTCACAGGGCCACCCACAGAGGAGCAGCCAGGGGAAGCAGCAGCTCTCACCTCACCAGGGCAAGCCCGTTTTGCACAGCTCCTGTGAGCACAGCATCCACCAGCTGCAGTCCAGCCCCTGCGGCCAGGCGTGCACAGTGAAAGGTACTCTGTGGGCGCAGGGGCACAGATGAGCCCCCCCTGCCTTCCCTGCTGCCCTTTGCAGGCCATGCCCACACTTGTGTCAGGCTGCAAGCCACCAGCTGCTGAGCACAACAGGCCAGTCCCAGGCTCTGGCAGTGCCAGCAGGCAGGTGTGCTGGACAATGTCACGTGCACGGACCAGGGGACGCTGGCTGGGATCGGCAGCCATGACTGTGAACGTGCAGAGGCGCGTGCATGTGTCTGCACAGGTGAGTGTGTCCGGGGACACGCACCGGGTGGAAGTAGATGGCGTCGAACTGTCCGGACAGCGCTTGCAGCTCCTCCTCGCCTAGGACCTGGGTCTTCCTGACCAGGGACACATACTCTGGGCTGCATGCAGATGGGCAGGCAGGAGAGGCAGGGTCACCAGCAGGAGCAGGGGGCCGGGAGGGGGGAGCTGGGATTTGTGGTGGGAGTGGCCACCCTGTCACTTCCTCAAGCCTGTGAGCCCACCCAAGGTGCATAGGGAGAGGATCTGTCTTCAAGGCTGGCAGGCCCAGGTTCCCAGGTTTCTAGATGGGTTGCCTGCCCCCATATCATGGGGGGGCTTCCCCCGTCCTGACCTGTGCACCAGGCCCAGCTCCGCTTTCGAGGCCTCGCGGGCTGACAACCGCAGACACCTCTGTTCCAGGCCGCGCTGCCGCAGGCGGTCCAGGGCTGCGGTCAGGCGCTCAGGGCGCTCAATCTCGCACTCGGGGCTGGGGCAGACGAAGAGCTCAGTCCAGAGGTCCCTCCCCGCACCCCACCTCGGCCAGGTCCCACTTACTCGTCCCAGAGTAGCCGGGTGGCCGTCATGTCCTCATGGTACACAAGCGCGGTCCCCATGGCTGCGCCGTGGTCACCCTGGGTCCCCAAACGCCCTCGCCAGCGGTGCCTGCCACTGCCAGTCTCCACTTTCGGCCGGGAGCAGCCGGAGGCCTGGGACCTGCCTGGGGCGCAGGCGGGCGGCGGGCACCGGCCTGGGCGGGAGCGCACAGAACTAGGCAGGCTCCGGGATCCCAGGCGTGCAGAAGGCGCCGAGCGAGGCTGCAGTCGAAGGGGGAGGCTCCCCGCGCACGGCTTCCGGCTTCCTCGCCTCGGACCCGGGTCCCGCCCCGCGCCCTGCTCCCGCTCGCTATCGCGAGCCCCGCCCCGGAGCGAGGAACCAGCAGGGGCGGAAGCCTCAGCGCCCGGAGCCGCCAGCCCTCCGAGCTGCGCTGCTGCTCCGCCTCCCCCTCGGCCCCGCCCCGATCCCCTCCTAGAGGGGCGGGGTCCCCAGGCCCTGCGCTGGCGGTCGTCGCAGCCCCACCCGAACGCCTGTGGCTGAGCCTGCCCAGGCGAGCTCCGTTCTGCTCCAGCTCCCGGGTCAGGGTTCAGCGCACCCCCAGGCCACCCGGCCCGAGCGCAGGAAGAGCCGGGGTGAAGGGCGAGCGGGGCGAGGGGTCCGCAGGCAAAGGCCACGAGGCGGGAGAAGCCCGCGGGGAGGCGGGTGGCGCTGCGGCCGGCTCAGGGCGGTGGTCGTGGTTGCATCCAGGCGCAGCACCGCCCTGGAGGTTTAAGGAGGGCGAGTCCGGTTCTGGCTCCGAGAAGATCCCTCGCCTAAGAGCAGAGTCAAGGTCGGTGGAGGCGAGGACGCTGGACCGGAGTTGCGGTAGCGTGGCGGGGAACAGAGGAAGTGAGGAAGGCAGGAGGCGCGGGCACAGCCACGGAGCAAGGTGCCCCAAGAGGAGACCGGAGCCCCCCTGGAGCCCAGGGGCCACCCTGTCCCCGTCGGAGCTCACGTTTAGTTGGGTCAGTTTTGGGGCCCCCAGTCCTCAGGCCACCTATGGCAGGAAGCTGGGCCCCGTGTGGACAGCAGCCATGACACAAGTCAGTGCGGCTCCCGAGCCGATGGGGATCACGTCCCCCATGCCCGGATGCCCTGGAGAGGCATGAGGGTCGCTGGCAGAGAAGGCGTCTGTCGTGGCAGCTCATCAAGTCCAATTTGGCTGGGCCAGCTGCGGAAGTGTCCACCGAGGAGGACGCCTGGCCTGCCCTGCCCTCACTGGTCTCTCTACTGTAACCCCCTGCCCTGGGACAGGTTTGGAGGTGCCTGTGGCCTGTGGTCCAGCCGCCACCCTTGGAAACACCAAGTGGCCTGCAGAGGGCGGACTGGGCATGAAGATACCACTGGAGCACGGTAGTAGGTAGGGGCTAGAGGTTTGATCAAGAACAAAACCCCGCCCTCTGTGCTCACCACTCCACCACAGGGGCCAGAGGGGTCTCAAGGTGTTCAGTGTGCCCCCTCCCCCCAGGGACCTGCTGGCCTTGGAGGGTGCAGAGAGCTAGGGTAGATCCTAACATTTCTCCCCATCAGGCCCTGCCCCTGGGTCTGGCTTCAGGATCCACACACAGTGGCTTAGACTCTAAGCCATTAGCAGAAGGTCACTCTGTAAAAGGGGAGGGGGCCAAGCCCTAATGTGGGGGTTCGAAGCTCACTGGCACAGGTCTGGGGAAGTGGGCACCAGCTTTGTGGCCTGGGAGAGATGGGATGCTCAGGCCCCCAAGCTGGCTCTGAGGGTCTGAGCTATTAGGCCAGCCTCCTCTACATGCAGGCCAAGGGCTTGGAGGCCTTAAGACAGGTCGCAGCATGAGGACGCACAGCCAGAGCATGAAACCACAAAAGGGTCTATTTCGTTCAAGCCACGTGGGCGCCACACAGTTGATTTACATTCCAGGCAGGGGGTGCAGGAAGGTCCACTGACGTCGCCCAGGAGAAGGGATGTCCCTGAGTTGGTGCCCTGCGCCCACCCTCTGTTCTTCCTCCGCATGGCCCAGAGCAGGCAGGGCTCAGAGGCCAGGGCCTGACCTGGAGCCCCACCAGCTCCGAGGTTTCTGAGGGCACTGGGCAAGGGGGCCCCGGCTCCAGGCATCAGAGGCCATCCCCAGGTTGGCCAGAGGTCCTGTCCAGAAAGTTCAGGTGCTCCTCCAGGATGGGCACCCGAGAGCAGAGGCACGGGCATGGGGAGGAGGGTCCATGGAACCCAGGGGTCTGCTCCGATGGATGCCTTGGGATGCAAGCCCCAGCCAAGGTCAAGGTGGCAACGAGGCTCCCCTCTCAGGTGGAAGGTGAAGGTGGTCCTCACTACCACCCTGGAGCTCAGAGATCTTCACAGAGCCGTCTCCTTGGAGACCCTGGCTCCCAGCTGCCGCGGAGGCTTGAAGCTGAGCACCTCTTTGTAAGTAACACCTGGCGGGGGCGGGGGGCACGACAGAAACCAGGGTCAGCCTTTGCCTTCCATCCTGGGGTGTCACTCACAGACACGCCTGGCGGTGCCTCGTGGGGCCCTTCTCTAATCCTAATGTGGTCCAAACCACTGAGAGGTTTGTGTGAAGAGGCCATTGCTCTAGATCCGGATTTTCCAGGGAAAGGGGAGGTGGCCAGGGCTTGGCCACATGTCCACCACGGTCTGTCCTAAGAGCTGAGGCCCCAGCTACAGTTGTGTGGGTGGGGACTACAGAGAGGATCCTATGGCCCATGGTTTTCAAGTTATCTTTTTAGCAGGAGAAACCTTTAATCAAAGCCAAACTCATAAGCACACAACTAAGCACACACAGCGAAGGGTGGAGGCCCTGCTGCAGGCACCCAGGGACCCGTGGTCCTAAGGGGCACAGGTGAAGAATCTCAGTCCATCCAGCCCCACCCAGCCAGTGTGGAGGACCAAGGCCCTGCGCCCAAGGCAGAGCCAAGACAGGGCCTGAAACACGGCACTGCTCCCAGTGTCCACCTGCTGTCCCCGGGCACCCCCACCACAGGTTGGTCATGCAACCATGAAGAAGACACAGCCTGCCATTCTGGAGCAAAAATGAAGCCAGGTCCAGCATAGCCTCAGGCCACAGCATAGCTGTGGGAGCTGGGGAGGCTTCTCTGAGTTCAGCCTGAGGCTGCACAGGCCTTGGCCAGCCCTCCAAGATGAGGGGATAGCCCCTGGTATAGGGGATGATGGACCCTAGTAGTTAGGGTTGGGGGCTGGACTGCTCAGGGGGGCTGGGGGAGACAGGTGAGGCCCTGGGGACTATCTTGGGTATATAAGACATACATGTCTTGTCCAGATGGGAAGGATCCTAAAATGGACCAAAGAGAGGGCCGGGCGCGGTGGCTCACGCCTATAATCCCAGCACTTTGAGAGGCCGAGGTGGGCGGATCATGGGGTCAGGAGATCAAGACCATCCTGGCTAACACGGTGAAACCCTATTTCTACTAAAATTACAAAAAGTTAGCCGAGCGTGGTGGCGGGCACCTGTAGTCCCAGCTACTCGGGAGGCTAAGGCAGGAGAATGGCGTGAACCCGGGAGGCAGAGCTTGCAATGAGCCAAGATCACGCCACCACACTCCAGCCTGAGCAACAGAGCGAGACTGTCTCAAAAAAAAAAAAAAAAAACACCTGGGGCAAGGAGAGGCAAGGACAGATTCACGAGATGTGAGGAGAGAGGCCTTAGGGACAAATGGACATGGTGAGGGTGGCACGGTGGCCCGGGTCTCTGGCCTGGACATGGCGGAAGGGCAGCAGGTCTGGGGGCCAGGAGGGGCTAAGTGGGCCCTGCTGCCCTGACTCACAGCTGCCCTTCACTGTTCCCGGCTCCTTCTGTGCCAGCCTCTGTGCTGAGCCTGCCAGGAACACCCTCCTTTCATCTTTCAGCTCCAGCCAGAGGTCATTTCCACCAGGCCACACGGCCCCATGCTGCCCTCTGACCTCCCATTCTCCTCACCTGACCTGCATCCCAGGGACGGGGATCTAGGACTCTGAGCCTGGCCACCTGCACAGGGCCCACAGGGTCCACACAGGCCCTGCCCGAAGCCCGCCACCCACGGGTCCACACAGGCCCTGCCCAGAGCCGCCCCACTCACAGGTCCACACAGGCCCTGCCCAGAACCCCCAACTCGGGTCCACACAGGCCCTGCCCAGAACCCCCAACTCGGGTCCACACAGGCCCTGCCCGGAGCCCCCAGCTCACGCTTCCATTCATCCAGCGTGCGGTCCACGTCATCAAAGGAGTCGTCATACTTCTGGACCTGGGGCTCATCTTCCGTGTCGTGCAGGGACTCGAAGTAGGGATGGGCCAGTGCCTCGGCTGCCGTCACCCGCTGCTCCGCATCCAGCACCAGCATCTTCTCCAGGAGGTTCACGGCTGCGGGGGAAGGTGCGTCAGGCCAGACTGCGGGAGGCCCCACACTCCAGCACCTGGTGGCCCCCACACTAGCCAGCCCTACCCAGAGGGCTTGCATTGGTCAGGATGGAGGCAAAATCCTTCTTCTCCAACTCAGGGAGGCCCTTCATGTAGTTCTTGGCCTATGTGGAAAGAAAGGGTGAGGGGCCAACACCGAGGCCCGGGTCCGCCCCCACCCCCACCCAGCTCCCCACTCACCACTGACCTCATCACTCTGCAGCCGCTGCACAAACTCAGCTGGAGGCGTCCCTGTCACTTTCATGATTTCCTTCAGCTGGTCCAGGTCTGCACTGAGGTCAGGAGCACAGCTCGGGGGGCCAGAGATCAGGGCCCTCACTGCCCCCACCTGGGCAGGAGCCATCCCTACCCCCCGAGAACCCCCTACCTGGGCAGGAGCCATCCCCAACCCCAGAACCCCCCACCTGGGCAGGAGCCATCCCCACCCCCCCAGAACCCCCCACCTGGGCAGGAGCCATCCCCAACCCCCAGAACCCCCCACCTGGGCAGGAGCCATCCCCACCTGCCCCTGGTGCTGCTGGAGGATACGGTCGCTGCCCTTGAACAGCGTCTTGCCTGTGATCATCTCCGCCATGATGCACCCCACAGACCAGATGTCCACTGAGATAAAAGCCATGGTCAGCCCCGTCGGCAGGGGGACAGGATGAGATGGGGAGGGAGGAAACACAGACACAGCCCACCCACCCGGCTCCCACCCCAGCTCAACAGCCTCCCTAGGGAGCAGCCACCACAGGGCTCTCTGTGAAGAAGTAGAGAAGCAGATGGTGCAGCCCGAGAGGCCCAAATCTCTAGGCAGCTTCTCACCCGTCTGCGTGTAGCGCATCCAATTCAAGATGACCTCGGGTGCCCGGTACCACCGGGTCACCACATAGCCAGTCATCTCGCTGTCTGCCTGCCTGGCCAGGCCAAAGTCCAGGATCTGCGGGAAGCATCGGGGAGGTGGGTTCTAGGGGACT